CATATCGTGTGTTTTAATTTAGGATTTTAGAAACCTTTTGACAAATCTATAGATTAAAAATCATGTGAGAATGTTACTCTTCATTTTCAGATGATGTGAACTGAAATTTTGCCCAAGTTTTCTGAGAGTAACTGTATTTCTGAAATTTAAAGGCTTTTAACAAAACCAAACAAACAAAAGAAAATCTCAAACAATCTCTTGGGAGCCCTTCTGCCCTCCTAGAATTCTTACATTTATGTTATCTGGTCTCAGACGTGTTTTGTTCTTTTGCCTCAAAATCAGCCCTTTATTTTAAAAAAAGAAATTGTGTAATTAGGACTTAATTGCTTTGGATATTTTGGGTATTTGGAGGAGAAGGTAATTAAAAGGCCAGAGAAATTGAACTTTCACAGTGCTCTTTACGTGTGTGTAATTCTATTTTTAAAAAGCCCTCTAAAGGCAAGCCTGACAGTTTAAAAGTAACGAAAGAGCTGGGTTGATTTGAAAAATTAAACATCCGTTTGATCTGTGGATGCAGTTTTGTTGATTTTGGTTAAATTGGAGAGAGGACCATGGCAATGCTAAGACATCAGATACATAGTTCATCTTCCTCTTCAGGCAGGTACCATCTATGCAGTATCACGCAGATGGCTTCCCACCTCTCCTGTGCTTTGACATCTTCTAGGAGAAACAACAAGATTTTTCCAACCTTCATAAATATTAAAACCAAACCAAAACAAACCCTTTGCTGTCGAGGCGATTCCGATTCCTAGTGACCCTATAGGACAGAGTAGAACCGCCCCATAGGGCTTCCAAGGCTGTAATCTTTACAGAAGCAGACTGCCACATCTTTCTCCCAAGGAGCAGTTGGGGGTTTGAACTACCAACCTTTAGGTTAGCAGCCACCAGGACTCCTTTCGTAAATATTACACATGATCACATTTATATATTTCCCATAGTTAAGAGTGATATACAGTGTACCAGGACGAACCGGAACTTGGTTGATGTAGGCTCTTGTCCTGTATCTTTAACTAACTGAAAGGCCTTGGTGAGTCACTTAACTTCTCTAAACTACTTTTACTGTGCAAATGGGAATGTTGGACTAGTCATGTTGAACTAGTAATGTTGGACTGAAACCTCTACTAGCTCAGAAATACTGTTTCAGATGACAAGCATTATCTAAAAATCCTACATTTTGTGCATGTGAAGGCTAGCAAGCTACTTTTAAGCCAGAATGTACATTAGTTTTTATAATGAACACTTGAACTATGGCATTAACAATCTTATGAGTTTGAAATATATTGTTGTTGTTGGTTTTAGTGGAAACTTAAACCAAAAGAACCTTATATCTGTTATATTCACTGAATAAGATAGTTATACAAAATTTGGAGATTGGTTCCTTATTGATCCCCAACCATTTTGTGAAGTTGTACTAAGAAGTGCTATTCTATAATGTCGCCATTACTTTTTTTTTCCTTTCTAACTAATATTATTCTTACTTTTATCTTAATGTTGATATTATTCTTACTTTTGTCTTAATACTGATCATTTGTTCTCGAAGAAAGCAAACAAACAAAAAAAACCCATTGCCATCAAGTCTATTCCAACTCATAGCAACCCTGTAGGACAGAGTAGTACTGCCTATAGGGTTTCGAAGGCTGTAAATCTTTATGGAAGCAGACTGCCACATCTTTTTCCACAGAACAGCTCGTGGATTTGAACTGCTGACCTTTTGGTTAGTAGCCAAGCACTTAACCACTGTGCCACCAGGGTCCCTTCTTGAAGAAAAGTGAGAATTATTTAAACGTCTGGTTTTCTACCTGGGAACTTCAAAGAATCATTAACAACCGTTTGGCTCAAATACGTGCAAACAAATATAAGAACCTGGATAAAATGTATGATTCTCAAGGAGTATATAGATTAGCAAAACTGACCGTAGAAGAGATAGAAATTCTAAACACATAGTAGCTGTAGAAGAACTAGAAAAGAAAGCATAGAGCTACCCGACAGAAAAGGACCAAGCCTAGACTGATTTTTGTGGAGAATTCTGCCAAAACTTGAAGAAATGGATAAACCCAATGGTACTTAAAATAGTACAGATCAAAGAGAAAAGTAGTAAAATTTCCTATGACTGTTAAGAAAAAGGCTGAACTCCCTTCCTTTGCAATCAAGCTAAACCTCAAGAACCATGTAGAGCAAGAATGAACCAAGAATGAAAGATAGGAGCTAGAGTTATCAAATAAAACCTTGAACTGTGGGCTAAGTTCGGGGCTTCTGCGCCTTGTTGTTGTGTAGGGAGTTAAATCAGGAAAGAATTTTTTTCACTCCGTCTAGGTAGGTGTCTTCTAAGACAAGAATATTTTTTTAAATGCACTTGTATTTTGTTCTGTTATCTTTATTGAGGACTACATGTGTGCAAAGCATAATGTTAGTGGGGAGACTGGGGCAGTGGATAGGGTAAAAAAAAAATGGAAGAGAGACATTGTCTGTCCTCAGAACATTGGCATCTGGCCCAGTGTATGGGAGACAAGCCCATGCACAAGAGGACAAGGAAGTGAACAAAGAACGAGACAGAAGGGGAGTAGTGTGGGCTGACGACTGAGTTATATAAACCTCAAGATCCCAGAATTGGAACCCTGACCTATAAACGAAGTTTTAAATCCATTCGCAATAGTCTGAACACTGATCGAATGGCAAGAAATCTTTCAAGGTCTGGGAGACAAGAGAGGAGCATAATGAAAGGCCAGGAAATCAGGCCAGGTGGATGGGGCTGACCATAAAAACGTCCCAGTGATTGGTGATAGAAACTTTTCATGAGACCTAGACCAGGTGAGCAAGACCACCTATTCACGTGTGCTACTCCTAATACTCGTACTGTCAGTTCCTCTGAATGTCGCCTAATTGCTCCCTCCTTTCTTAGAAATTCTAGGATGAAAAAAACAATGTGAAGGTTGAAACAGAGGGAAGAAAGCCATTGACAGGTTAGGAAATAAAGAAAGGAGAAGGCATCTAACACACAGTATTTCAAATCTATAGAAAACCACTCTACTATAACACATTCAAAAACTCGTGTCACTGGTGATGGCACAGACTTTTAGACGCTGTCCTCCGGGTGTAAGTATATTTAGATCAACTTCACACTGAGAGAGAGAGGATGAATGGGTGTGGTGTGTGTGTGTGTGTGTGTGTGTGTCTTGGTTGTGCTTTGAAGTTCTTTACAGAAAGGTAGAAAGATTCCTTAGCCTCTCCTGATGTTGTGTGTTCAGGTTTTGAGGTGTGTTTATTATTATTATTATTATTTTCACATTAAGTACATCATGAAATTTAAACCGTAGGTATCGTGTTAGTAATCTGCCTTTTAAAGGGATTTTTAATGTGTGTTTGGGATGCTCGGTGACCTTTGAAATTTTGTTTTGAGGTCCTGGCAGAAGCATTGTCATTTTTCTTTCTGAAACAGATTTTAACATTTACAAAGGTTGATTAACCTAGGGTAGTTGTAATAAAATATTCATCTGTCTTTTTTAATGTCAACCCAACGTTTAAAACTGTTCATCAGCTACCTGAAACATCAATTCAATGTGCTTGAGTTGATTTTAATAAATTCCTTTTCCATTAAACATTCTAGTTGTGGTCAGAATGCAGTTTGAGGATAGAAATCTTTCCAGTCTTGTTTACCTGCAGTCCAGTTTTCCAAATTCTGTTGTTTCTCAGTAAGATTAATTTCTATTTCATTATCTCAATAGTTACCTTAAAATTTTTATATTCCCAGGAAAGGAGAGTGTTCTGAATTCTGGCATCCTTCAAAATTTGGATAGTTTAAGTATATCGACTTTTAACAACACTTAAATATCTAGTTCAAATATGTGATTTGTCATTAAAAGGTTATTTACACCTAAAATGCTGACCTGTCAAGATGTACACAAGAGTGTTCTAAAACAGAGTTTCTGAACATTGACCGTGAAACCACTGTCTTGGGCTGACAAATGGATTGGAAATAAGCTACCCAACACTAAGAATGGGCCATTAATTTTAATCAAAGGTGATGCAGGAAGGCGAATGGGATGCATGACAATGTCAACAGCCCAGTAGGTGTTAAGAGACTACACAGCCTTCCTTGTTACTTGGTTGGACCATTAGTTGAGGTTGGGTGAAGACAGAAAGCCTTGTCTGGAATTGAATGACCAGGTCACTCCAAAATCTAATGGAGAACTCCCCATTTCAGAAATCACATTGTAATGCCATTAAAAGTCAAGGACAGCATTTAGAAAATACTGGAATTTTTTTTTTTTTTTAAACCAAGCACGTTGATAGGTTTTTTTTTTTTTTTTTTTAACAACTTTGTTAAGCTTCTTTCGTTTTCTTGCTTCCTTTCCTTCTGAATGGATCATTGATATTTACAGAGGATCAAGAAATCGAACAGAGTTAGGAAAAAAATCTCAAAGCCTGTTGGTTGTATAACTCCGGTAAATGCCAGAAACAATAGCATACCAAAGGAATTAAGCAGGGTAATTAATTCTCTGTGGTGATCTCATCGTCCTTGTCCCTTTCTTCAATCTAAGCATAGTTTCGCTAATTGAAACTAAACTTTCTTAATAGCATTCGTTTTATAATTGTCCAGGCCACCTGGCTTGTGCCTTACGGTACATTGCCAATATTGGCTGATAATCTCAGCGATAGTCACAGTGGAGAACGCCTTTTCTTTCAGTGAGTCAGTATTTTTCTTTATTTTGAGTATTTTCAATTACAAAAAGAGGTAGCATTTGACAGCTTGAATTAATGATGTTTATAATAAAGGCATAAAAATGCAGAAGGGAAAAGAAGCATTTTTATGTCTGTGCTTCAGATTTCTTAAGAAAGTTCATTTATTCTGATGTGCATAAGAAAGATAAGTATGCATACATAAGAAAGATATGTATGACTGCATTAGTAATTTTTACACATTTTTAAGAAAGAAAAGCAATTATATTGCTGTCTTGTTAATGGAAAACTTTTAAAAGTAATAGTGTTTGTTCTTCCGCTAGATGAAGATCAGCTCCGCGCAAAGGGTTATGACAAGACACCAGACTTTATTTTACAAGTACCAGTGGGTAAGTCCTGAAACGCGGTTATATATTTGATTATGAAGAAAAGGGATGTGTTTTTCTGTATGTTTTCTTTTTTTTTTTGTTAATATGTTAATATTAGCAAGTGTGACTAGAGTAGATTTGCTTTATAGTATCACATTTAAATGAGTAAACCAGTTGGAAGGATTATTGATAAAAGTAGAAAATGATGGATCCAGAAGAAGTCTCTGCCTTAAAACTTTTACATACATTTGAGAAATGAAAATGTCTCCTGAAGACGTTTGGGCTGCCATTTTCCAGCCATTTCTCTAAATACTGAATTCTAAAACACGGTTCTGTTGCGAAGCCAGGCTCACTTTGGTCTGTTTGACACATGACTTGTCAAGTTACACACGCAGTCTCAGAACCAGGAAAAGGACTTTTGAAGCAGAAGATAACGAAAATAAGAGAGATGTGATTGTAGCATAAACGTTCCTGGTAATGAACATATACAAGGTGTTGTTCTATAATTACATCCAGAGATGATGGCTGAGGCTAAGCCTCCGCTCATTACTGGGAAGCAGAGAGAGGCCTTTGCAGAGTTCAGAATTTTCAATCTTCGCCTTCGCTGTATATTAGTAATGCTTTGTCCCTTAGCTGTAGAAGGGCACATAATTCACTGGATCGAAAGCAAAGCCTCATTTGGTGACGAATGCAGCCACCACGCCTACCTGCATGACCAGTTCTGGAGCTACTGGAATAGGTAAGTTCCCATTATTTTTCTCTTAAGATAAACGATACTCAGCTGAAATCTCATTAGAAAAAATATTTTGTTTAGCTGGTAAAAACGCTAGTAGCTTTTGTTTCTAGTAAATACGGAGCTTTGATTTATGTATTCATTTCAGATAATTTAAACTTCTCGGCTTGCATAATGTTGCTTCATTTTTAAAAACAAAATCTCTGCATAAGGTCAGAATCAGTATATACTCGAATTTATTGGTGTCCCTTAAAATATGGGTAATGGGATATGGTGCATGTTATGATATTGACACTGAATTTTTTATCCTTTTGATGTGAAATCTATGCTTACTGTCAGAACTTAAAGAAATCCTTCGTCCTGAGGAAAGTATCACAACAATATGAGAGATGAAAACCATTTACCTTCCAAACGTACCTTCCAATTTCTAGGAATATTCCAGAAAGCATGGAAAGTGAAGCAATCTGGAAAGGGGGCGGCTAGAGTCGGGGAGATGCTAATATCATTGAGTGCCCACGATTGTTACTCCATGTGCTGGTACTATAAATTGTTAGTCCTCACGACGGCAAGAACCGCTTTTTCCCCCATTTTCCAGATAACTAAGCTGATACTCAAAGAGCAAATAATATGCCACACGGCTAGTCATCACATGCCTGCATTTGTCTCCCTGATTCCCAAACCATGCTATTTCCAGCACCACACTATTGTTATCTACAAACAGCTGTCAGAACTCTGGCTTTTTCTATTACTGCAGTCCCACGTTTTCACACTACACGTTTTCCCCTCAGAAGAGAAGGTGGGTCAAGTGGTAACCTTCTTAGATTAACTGTGTCCCTCGGTCACTAGCTGGCAGTAAGAATACAATAATAAGATGACATTGGCTCAGATCATTCAGGGAATGAGACACGAGCGTCTGTGGACAATAGCCTCATCCTGGGAAAAACAACAGGGGCAGTCTGCAGAGTTTGGCGTTACGCTGTTACTCAGCTTTACCAAAGGCCAGCCGACCTCGCTCGTAGCAGCTGTGCTAAGCTAAGCCCACTTTTTGCCATGGTAACAATGATCATGACAAAATGCTGAATGTAATGGCTTTCTTGATTTTCTTGTGTAATTGTGCGTAGCATCCGAGCTTTACTTTACGGGGATGGAGGAGGAAAGTGCAAAATGTTTTAGAAATCAATGCTGTTTCAGCGTTTCCTCTGCTGTATGCGGCCATTATTCAAATTAGCAGTAATGTGGCAAATTGAATTTTAGATTTTTAGCAATTTTATGATGAGTTTGAATTTGTAAAGAAAGCATCATTTCTGATGGTATAGGGAAAGTAATGACAGGAAAATCAAATTGCATAAGTTTAGGTTACTCGAGAATTTTAAAAACTGATAAACTCAGTCATTATGCATTGAGACTATTTTCCTCCCTCTGGTACTGCCCAAATCTTTTATAAGGAGCAATAAAAAATTTATTCCCAAATAGTAGAGTTTATTTAAAAATTCCAGAAGTGCGTCTTTATTCTAAAACAACTCAACTGTTTATTGAGCACCTACTATGTGCTGATCATTCACTATTTGAGGTGCTAATTAAGTAATCCCATCACCTGTATGGTAGACTTATGGTCTACTGATGTGATTGAGGAGCTATGATTAGTGGATAATTTAATACAGTTCCACTGGAGTGAATTTTAAAGTATTTTGTTACATGTTACTTCTTTCTTTTCTGATGATATTTTACTTAGACCACTGTTGATCTACAATCTTTGAATCTACGCTGGCTAATGGGCATAATTGAGTTAGGGCATGTTGCATGGTAAGGGAAAGTCAGCTTTGGTTTAAAGGGTCCAGATCATGCAAGGGTGGTGCAAATGGTTTGCATGCTTGGCTGCTAACCGCCGGGTTGGAGATTTGAGTCCACCCAGAGGTGCTTCAGAAGGAAGGCCTAGCGATCTACTTTGGGAAAATGAGCCATTGAAAGCCCTGTAGATCCCAATTCTGCTCTCACACACATGGATTTGTCATGAGTCAGAACTGATACAATGGCAGCCAGATGGCCAACAGTTTATCATTCAAGGACGTCATACTCTATCCACAAGTAACTGAAGATACAAAATGTCTGCAGAGAGGCCAAGAAATGCAAGTAGTTCCCAGCTTGAAAGCAGAACATAGAGGCATTTACCGCCATATAAAATTTTGGTTTTAATAATAATGCAGACTTACCAGTGGTGGGGCATTTTGACAGAAGAACTTAGCCCAGTAGTTAAAGTATGGAATCCTACTCCTCTCATATTTTTCCTTACCACAACTCACAAAACAGAGGCTACAGTTCTTCAGGTTGGGGAGAATCATCTCTCTCACCTGCAGGTAGCCTTGCAAGGAGCCTGTTGGTTGGGGTTTGGACTAATTTTATTTATCTGATAACCCTCCAGTAACATAAAAACTAATGTTGTCGACTGTATTTTTATGCAGATAACGTGCGCCTTCTATGTTTGTTTGCCAGCCACGCCCTACCCCTACCAGGTATTTTCATAAGCACACTATGCTAATATTTTTTTACAGTAACATGTTAAAAAAAAAAAATGGCATAGTGGCACTTACGAAAATAACCTCACAGGGGAAGGGCACGGTTAGCAAACAAACATAGAAAGCACTCGTTATTTGCATAAAAATACAGTAATTGTCACACAATTTTCAGATTAAAGATTGGATTTTATGATAAGCTGATTCAATCAATATTTGTGAAATAATGTTCTTGTATAAACCCATTTTCCCACACAAATAACTATAAAGCCCCTAACTTTTAGGCTAACATTTCTGTACTAGTTTTCCTTTGTATGGTAAATTGGTATTCTTACTCAGCTTTTGACACAGTTGATCACTTTATTAAATATTTTCCCTCTTGATTAAAACATTTTCTTAGCAACCTGCCTAACCTCCCTGAGCCTTTGTTTCCTTCTCAATAAAGTGGGGTTAATAATATCTTCCTTGCTGAGTTGTTGTGAATATCAGTTATTTCATACAAGACGTAAGGAGCACTGGTGGAAGGGTCAGCAGTTCGAACCCATCAGCCACTCCACGGGAGAAAGATGTTATCAGTCTGCACCTGTGAAGGTTACAGCCTTGGAAACTCTATGGGGGCAGTTCTCTGTCTTATAGGGTCACTGTGAGTCAGAATCAACTCAACAGAAATGGTTTTGGTTTTTTAATACAAGACAGCATATTCTTTTGGGTTTCTTCCCACCATGCCAGTCTCGTTTGCTGATTCTTCTTCTTCCCAGCCTCTAGGGTGGAGGGCCCTGCAGCTCAGTGCTCATCCCTCTTCCCATCTCTGTCTACACTGACACCATTGGTGATCCCCTTGGGAATCTCATTGGGTCCAGTGGCTTTATATGCCATCTCTACACTGATACCTCATAAATTTTATCTCCAGTCTTGATATTTACCCTGACCTCAAACTTGTTTGTCTATCCACCTGTCCACTCAGTATCTCGTCTTGGATATCTAAGGGATATCTCAGACTTAACATGTGCAAAACTGAACCCTTGATTTTTCTTCTCAAGCTTGTTACTCCCCTATTTTCCTACAGTCCAATTGATGGTGCCACAATTTGCCAGATGCACAAGCCAAAAAGCTAGATGTCCTCACCCTGAATCCAGTCCATCAGCAAGTCCTTTCAGCTCTGTCTTCACCATGTCTCAGATCATGCCATTTATCACCACCTTCTGCTGTCACCTCAGTGGCTACCAGTATGTCTCAGACTATCACTGTCGCTTCCAAACTAGTCTTCTTACGTCAACTCTTGGCACCCCTGCAGCCAGTTTTTCATAGCCCAGCCAGAGTGACTCTTGGAAAATATAAATCAGATTGTGTCACTTGCCTGCTCAAAACTCTCCCAGCTTCCCATCACCTTTGAAATGAAACCCAAACTCTTTGCATGGCATTTGGGGCCGACACGATCTGGCTGCCTTCCACCGTACTTCTCTCCACACCTGCCTCTCTCCCCTCACCTGAGATTCTGTTCCTCTTTTATGCTCGTTTGACTTTCTTGCTCTCATTCTCTCTCGACTTTACTGTTCTTCTTAATACTGTCTGAATGAATCAGTATCGTAGAGTTGGGAACATTTTCATAAACACCAATTTGCTTGTTTGAATGCAAGCCTTTAAAATAACTTTTTTATATTGTTATTTCTCGTTGCTACATTTAGCCTGCCCCTCATTGTTTTATCCATCGTTGAATGCCTAGAAGCTGGTGGAGTGCCTGACACATAGTAGGTGATCAGTAGATATTTATTGAATGAATGAATGTGTAAATTAATTTTCTGATCGCTGACTTACAACACCATTTTGAATCAACTGTTAAGGATTATGGCAGACATTGTGACGTTAAACCATAATGGGGCCACGTTTTTGTCTTTTAGAATGCCATTCTGAGGTGTGGTTCATTTTTCTAAAAATCTTTTGCCAAGTTTTCGGATGTATAGACTTTTAAGATCTATTTTGTGAAGTGTGACATTAGTGTATGCACATAAGAAATTTTAAAATAGAAAAATAACTGATAACTAAATGGCAAATGCTCTTTATAAAGTTTTTTGCATAAGTGCTTATAATTTTGTATTGATGATTTACATTTCCGAAACGTCAGCCAGTACTCTGAAATTTGGCACCAAATGCCTGGAAAATCCTAAGTGTCAATATCATAATACTGCTTCCTGTAGTTTCTTTAGGGGATGCATACAACTGGGCCCACCCTAAATACCTGAGGGGCCTGGGACAAGAGTACAAATGTAGGCCTGCATACCAGGTGTCTAAATATTTAAAGTTATAGATCAAGTTAACAGCCATTAAGTAAAATGTATTTTATCCTGTATGAAGACCTGGAAGTTCAGATTTGCATTAAGAACTCCCAGACTCCTTTGAGTTTCAGGCTTGCATGTGGCAGTGGAGGGATAGATGGTCCCACCCCGTAGCCCACCTCCCTTGTCTTCCTACCCATGGGTCCTTCCTACACTTGGAAGG